GGTGCTCATGAAGCGGCTGCAGGAGGCGGACTCCGCGCCCGCCCCGGCGCCGAAGGCTAAGGCTGCGGCCCCGGCCCCGGCGCAGAAGCCGGCCCCCGCCCCAGCGCCGAAGGCCGCCGCGCCAGCGCCGGCGCCAGCGCCGAAGGCCGCCGCGCCAGCGCCGGCGCCAGCGCCGGCGCCAGCGCCGAAGGCCAGCCCGAAGACGGACACCTTGGAGCCCAGAGACAGGATATCGGCCCGGTACCACCGAGACAACCAGGTGCACCCGGGCATCCTGATGGAGATCCAGGACGGAGGCAGGCACCTCGTGTCGTGGGACGAAGCGGACGACAACGAGCCGCTCACGAGCGTCACCGAGGTTCAGCTCTTGAGGAAGGCGTAGACGCCCCTCGAGTCGGGGAACAAGCAGGTTTATCACGTCGGCGACATTTTTTTTGCGCGGTTTCCCGAGGACAATGGCATGTATTAGGCCGATATGCTGGAGTTGAACGGTGATCGTTGCAAGATCAAGTGGGACGATCCGGACGGTTCTCCACCGACTGCAGAAATGCCGGTCCATGACATCAAGTTGAAGTTGCGCAATCCGAAAGTGTGCTAAGCTCTCGTGGGTGCCGCGCCATCGTCACTACCGATTGCGTTAGCAATGCCAGCTCTTCGGTGCGCCAGCTGGCATATATTGATATAATTCTCGGCGGTTTTCCCAGAGCCGAGGCAGAGTTTCGCTTGGATTCCAGGCCATGAAGCTATGAGGCATCTGGGGGGTCCTTCAAGGAGGCGGTCTGGGGCGTCGTGACCCGCGCTTTTCTGCGTAGTGGACTTTTCACCGCCAGACCTTCCGCCCCCATGGGTGTAGCGGATCACGATAGAAGTCTTTCTTGCAAGAAGCTACAAGAAGCTACTGAAGGCATATACGGGCCAGTTGTGCGATCCCATTCGCAGAAGCCAGAGAGAAAAAAACAATCAATCATCATCATCATCATCATCATCATCATCAGCATCATCGTCATTATTCTCCTCCTCCTCTTTCAGTAGCCGTTTTGGCTCAAGATGGCACGCCATCGCGAGCCCAGCGTGGATGCCGCTAGCCCGCGGCCAGTTTCATTTTTTTTTTGCAGCCACACCCAGGGACGAGCCGCCGTCCATGGCTGCGTTTCATCCCGGCGTTGCAGGCCGCCTTCCATATCACAGTGTGCCTCGTGAGCCACGCGCCGAGCATCCATCTTCTCTCGAGCCCCGTGCCGAGTATCATTATCCCTACATTCCTGCACCCCGCGCCTGAGCCCCGCCGTTCCCCGCCCCCATATTCCGCTGGAAGTCGACGCCTTCGCTTCCTAGCAACAGCAGCAGCAGCAGCAGCAGCCACGCAGTGGCATCGGATTCAGCTTGGTAAGCGGTGCAGTTCAAGGCAACTACGTGCCCGTCGAGTCGACATCATGTCCTCCAGTGAAGAACGTTCCACATCGCGCAGCACTCCCTCTACTAGCCGCCGCAGAAAGGACCGCTGCCGAGAAAAAGAACAGTTTGAATCTGATCGTGCGCATCGAGGTTCCCGTGAACGCGAGGATAAAGGCCTCCGTGCACCCGCCGCCCGTAATACATTGGCCACCTACGGTGACAACGGCTTCTCCTCGCAGCCTGCTGCATCTCGATCGGGGAGAGCATCGGGAGAAGCAGCGCGAGCTGGCGGATCCCCAGCCCGCCAGGCGCAGCAGACGCCCACCTTCGCCATGGACACTGGGGGAGAAGAACCGCACGTTCCCCATCGCGCTGCTGCCGACGCCGCTCCTCCTCCTCAACCACGCCGAGATGGCGCCTGGTCTGAACATCGCGCACAGCAGCCAGCCGCCGCACCTCGCCCCGATCCATTGGCAGGAGCTGCTGGTCCTTGGCGCGAAGGAAACGCAGCCTCTCATGCTCCTGCCGCAGCAGCACACGGCCATGGTCAACTTCCAACCGCTGGAGGAGCCGCCAGCATCGGAGCCACCACCGCGCATCAAGTTGAAGCCGACCAAGCCACTCCACCTGCACCTGAGCTCGTTCGTCTCCCTGGACTGGACCCTGACCTGGACATACCACTACAAGAACTCATGCAAGCACAAGTCGCACATGCAGCAAGTACCTTCCCAGCGCAATCCAGTCAGCGACTTGATCAATCCAGAGAAAGCTTTCGTCAACTTCTCGCACAGCAAGCTCAAGCCACCGAACGCCGAGTCGACTTCCTTCATGACGTCGTTGCTAGATACCGCCGCGAACAGGGCAGACAAGCCGCAGACAAGCACAATATTTGGCAGCAGATCGACCAGATGCGCGAGACGCTCGCGCTCGCTGAGGCGCAGGTGCCGATCGCGGACCTCGCCGGGCTCGCCGACTGGGACCTCGCGATCGACCCGACGATCTTCACCATCCGAGCCCAACGCAGCATCGCGCCTGGCGTGAGCCTCAACGACCTGCAGGAGTGGATTGCCCCCGCCAACCTGGACACGGACGCCGTCGAGCTATATGGAGATGGGCCCTCACGCCGCTTCATTCCCCAAGTCAAAGGAGATCGCGCCATCGCAGTTCCTCGGGCTCTTGCTCTCTCTCTCTCTCTCTCTCTCTCTCTCTCTCTCTCTCGAGCCCTTCGCGACGCCGCAGGGAAGTGGAAGCGATTCACTCCAACAGATACCACGGGCGTGCCGGCTGACATCTACCTCAACCCCGACAAAGCCCCCGAGCAGATTCGCACCGAGATTCAGCGCAAGAAACTCCCCCAGCTTCTCCAGCATCGCTATCCGCAAAAGGCCTGGAAAGCATTCCGCACCAAGGGCGAGATCCACTGCGACGCCATGCCCGTCGTGCGCCTGGACGTCAAGGGCCAAGCCGACCCCGCCATCCTGGAGTTGAACGAGAAGGCATTCGAGCTCGCCCACTTTCGCGACGTCGATCGCGGCGCCGTCCTCACTTCTTTCCCGGCGCTCTTCGCGGACACGGCTGATGCCACGCGGCGGGTTTAGCCACCCTTGGGCTCCGTGGAAGCCAGTTGAGGACAACTTGCCTTGCTCTTTCATCACCTGGAACGCCCGCGCGCTCATGTGCCACAAGCGCTCGAAACGTCGTCGCAAACAAGCGGCCCTGCAGCAGTACATGCGCCAGCGCGCCGCCATTGTCTTGCAGGAGGTCCACGGCTCGGAGAAGCTTCTCCGCGCGTGGGTCTCCAGCCTTTCCCGTACAAGCTCTTCTTCTCGCAGTTCGTCGACGAGTCCGCTGATGACGCGCGCGCGGGCACGGGAGGCGCGGCCGCCCTCGTCCCGCGGCTCACGCACGCACAGCTGGAGCAGATGCAGCCGTCCCAGCTCCCGATCTTTGCCCGCGAAGCGCTCGTCAAAGACCCCCGCAATTCAGAGCATACGCCCAGGGCGTGGTAAAAATGCCCGTTTGGGGCCTCCTCCCCTCGCGCGGTCCATCGACAAGGAACAGCAAGCAGCAAGAAGTCAACAAGGAACAGTAAGCAGCAAGAAGCAGAACTGTAACAGTGGAAACTGGAAGCTGCAACTTGCACAGGAAACTGCGAACCTTCGTCCTACAGCCTGGTGGCCCCACAAGGGGGCCAGCGGATTTATCAGGTGTCGTGCCCCTCCCGCTCCTCCAGAGAGGCCCCGCTTGAGCGAGGAGGGCATTCGCAGACCATGCCATTTGTCAGGTTTCGTGCCCCTCCCACTCCTCCAGGGAGGCCCCGCCTGAGCGAGGAGGACATTCGCAAACCATGTTATTTGTCAGGTTCCGTGCCCCTCCCACTCCTCCAGAGACGAACGTGCTTCCTGAACAGCCGTCGTCTTCCTCCCTGCTGCTCCCCCTCCTTGCTTTCGTCTGCGGTTTCTTTCGCACGTACCTTTGTGATGGCCTTTCCATTCATACTGCTATTATTTTGACCCCACGAAGCCCTCAACATATCCTTTGCGTGCATGTCTTTCCCCATCGGTCTAGAGTTCAGGCCGTCGATGCTAATCGCTTCCGTGGGTTTTTGGGCTCAAGAATTCGCACCCAGGCAGTGCGAATGGATTTCCTCTGGCCCGCAGCCCAATAATACGCGTGGCAGGGGGCTTTTGCATATCTCTGGGGCGGCAATTTGCAGCGCTGCCCTGCGATCACGATCCCGGCGTGCCCGGGGTTCCCTGGCTGCGCGGCCTGCCCGCCGTGCCCAGGTTGCCCGGCGTGCCCGGGAGGAAGGCCGGCGCCTGCCAACCCGGCGCCGCCGGTGGGGCAGGAGGCCGGGGCCGACACCGTGCCGTCCTCGTTCTGGCTGGTGGTGCTGGTGAACGAGCTGCTGTTCCTGGGCCTCGTCGCCTGGTACGTGTACGGCTCGTGGGGCGGCGCGTGGCTGGCCTGCAAGCGTCGTCATGATGGCGGGGGCGATCGTGGCCCCAGCAGTGGCAGCAGCGCCGGAGATGCAGCAGTGGGCGTGGGTTCGCTACGACGGCGAGCCATTATGGCACCAGCGGCTGATCTTGGGGCGTCGGGCGAGAGTGCCAGCTGAGGTCGTGTCGCCGTTCGTCGTGCTGATCTGCACCGTGGACACGGACATCTACGAGGAGGACTACACGTGCGACGGCAGCGACATCATCGCCGTGCGCTACGCAGGCGATCGAGCGACCTTCCCGCCCGGGATTCGGGGTGCGAGCTCACACCGCTTCAGGCGGGACCTGACGGTGCAGGAGCAGCAGCAGATCGACCAGGCGGCCTTGGACTACTGCAGGGCGGCGCTGGCGGCCGATCATCATCGCCTTCGACTGGGAGCGCCGGCGGGGCCCTTCCTCATCCCGTTGACCTTCGGTCAGGGCGGCCCGGCTGCCCCGGCGGAGGCAGGTGAGGTGGCGGCGATGGTGGCCCCGGGCGCGCAGGCTGCTGCTCTGGCTGCCGCTGGTGGAGGACCTGGAGGTGCCGTCGGAGGAGCGGCCGCTGCCGGAGCAGGTGCTGCTGGCGGAGCCGCCGCTCCTGCGGCGGCGGGCGTAGCCGCTGCCGCCATGTGGGTGCTGGTCGAGTCGACGACTGCTGGTGCGCGCGGGACCGCCGTGGCTCCGCCCGCCGGATCGGTGCTGCGAGGGTCTGTCGGCCTCATGCCGCTGGCCGACGGCTCGTGGGTGGCGATCCGCTCGATCTCGGGATCGGCCCAGGAGTACGCCGGGCGAGAGGCCAGTCGGACGCTCGTCTGATGGGGATCCTGCCGAACCCTGCTGTTCCAGGCGGGAGGCTGCTGCGGCAGTGGCGCGACGCCGTCGCCAGCTTCACCGAGGAGGCGTTCGTGGACTGGCACATCCCCGGGCCGCGGACTTGCCTGCGGTGCTGCAAGTTCATCGACCGTCGGCAGGGGGGGCCGCTGGACCACTTCAGGTTCTGGAAGGCGACCCTCGGGCTGGCGGCCGACGACTACGGCGTGAACGACTACGAGGCCGGGATGCGCGCGATCTACACGATGGCGTGCTGGGGCGGCTTGGACCTGCCAAACATCGCGGGCGCTGAGCAGATCCTTCGGAAGTGTCAGATGTACGAGTACGTCTACGTGATGGACCGGGACCCCCACCACGGAGGCCACGGCGCCGGTGACGGCGGCGAGGCGGGCGAGAACAAGAAGACTGGCAAGAAGGGCCGTGGCCGTGGGGGCGGTAGTCACAGCCTGCTGAGTTTCGGGTTCATCGACGAGAGCGCTGTCTTCACCGGTCTCAGCCGAGACCACGGGGAGAGCATGATCTGTCCCCTGCTCCTGGAGCATGTGGCGAAGGAGGTGGAGAGGGACGCTTCGGTGTTGAAGCAAGTACGCAAGGCCCGCGAAGAGCAGCGGGCCTTGCGAAAATGACGGGCGTACTACCACGCGGGCCGCTTCCCCCCGGCGGTCCGCGCGTTTCTGGAGGGGGGCCCAGCGGTGGTGGCCCGCCATTCGCTGGAGATGAGCACTTCAAGGGCATGCCTTGCGGTCGCCAACGTGATCTATTTCCACTGCCACGTCCTGATCAACAGCGTCAGGTCCGTTCAGAGGCGAACAGCTTCGCTTGCACACGTTCTGTGGCCCGTCGTGGTCTTCGACGGGGTCATGCCGATGCTATGGTGAGCGAGGTGGTTAATACTCTCAACGAGCTGTACGTCGGCCAGCCCTGTCGCCACGGCGACCACTCGCAGCCTGTCTTTGCGGGTCAGCAGCGGGCCTTGGACAACGTTCGAGATGCTGTCCGACGGTTCGGTAAGCCCCCGGAGGGATTGACTGGCTCAGGAGCCCTTGAGGAGCTCCGAGTCCTCAGCGACTACGCCGGCGAGAGTGCCACGGTCGCTCCGTTCAGCTTTGATAACATCAACAGCCTCTCGCTCCCGGACGAGGGTTTCGCGCTGGTGGCGCTGGACACGCTGGGAGGAGGAGCTGGCCGTAAGATAGTTGAACGGCTTCATGATATGATGCTGTCCCAGTCCGAGGGTCGGGCTCGGATTGAGTCCGACGGTCCTCGGAAGCTTTACATTGACCCGGCGCTCAGGAACCCCAAGCTGTACATCCAGCTGCTGCGGATCCTCGAGCGCCGGAACCTCATCGACTACTACGCTGACAAGGCGTGCAGCGTGGGTGTGTTCTTCGTTTATAAGAAGTCGGGGAAGCTGCGGCCCATCCTGGACGGCAGGCATGCGTCCCTGCACTTCAAGGCCCCCGACAAGGTGGCCCTTGCGTCTGGCGCCAGCTTCGCTGGTCTTCACGTGGACAGCGGGAAGCCCATCGCCGTGGCCGAGGTGGACCTGGCCGACGCCTTCTACACGATGCTGCTGCCGCCGGAGTTCCGACGGTACCTTGCGCTGCCGAGCTGCCGCGCGGGCCAGCTGGGGCTTGACTGCACCTCGGATGGGCGCCCTCTCAGCGGGACGGACCTGGTCTACCCCTGCTTCCGGTGCCCGCCGATGGGCTGCTCCTTCAGCCTCTGGATCTGCCAGACGATGTTGGAGGCGACCGCGCTGCAGGTGCCCCAGCTGACCGTGGCCAACCGCTTCGTGGACAGGCGTCCTGTGCCGGGTGTCACCAGCGACGTGATCCACACCGAGTACGTGGACAACGCGCTGAGCCTCTCGACCGACCCGTCGGTGGCGTCCGCGGCTGCCGCTGCTGTCGACTCTCGGCTCCGGGCGGCTGGCTTACCAACCCACGGGGTCGAGTGCAGTTTCGGCGCTGCCGCGCTGGGCTGGCAGTTCGACGAGAAGTTCCCGATCATCGGACTGAACCCGGCGCTGCGGTGGAAGCTGCGGCTGGCCTGCCTGGAGCTGTGCCGGAAGGGCTTTGCTTCGGGCAAGACGGTCTCGCGCGTGGTCTCACACTTTACATCGAGGGCGCTGATCTGGCGCGAGCTTCTGTCCTGTCTCAACTCGCTGTACGCTTTTTCTGCCCAGTATGGTGGCCGAACTGCTCGGCTCTGGCCCTCTTGCCTGCGCGAGCTCCGCTGGTGCGCCAGTCTGGTCGTGTTCTGCTTCCGAGACGCGGGTGCCGCGTTTGACAGCAGGCTCACGATGGTCGACGCATCGTGGTGGGGCGTGGGGGTCACTCAGAAAACATCGTCGTCAGCTGTTGCGCTGGAGTTATCACGGTACAACGAGAGGTGGAGATTCAGCAAGACTCAGGAGGGTGGCGTCTCACATCGGTCCCTCGCCCTGAAGGCTCAGAGCTCTGGAGACCCCTTCGTGCCCGAGTCGGTCGCAACCTTCGAGAATCCAGGGGGCTTCCAGGAGGTGATCACGGACTTGGAGGAGGATGAGGAGTTCGTCGTGTCGAGCTCCGCGTTCGAGGTGGAGGAGGTGACCCAGGTGGAGAATGAGGAGTTCCCGGAGATCCCAGAGGCCGTCTGGGCGGAGGGGTGGTACCCGGTCGTGTCGCACAGATGGTGTCGTTCGGAACCTCAAGTCGTTCTCGAAGGTCGTGGGATGGTGGTGGCTGTTCGGCATATCCTTCGGCGTCTCTCATCCTTCAACCGGTGCCATCTATGCTTGGGCGATTGTTTGGGAACGATCCTGGCTGCCACCAAGGGGCGGTCTTCGCGCCCAGAGATGGGGCGCATCTGCCGGCAGCTGGCGGCCCTTTCGCTGGCCAGCGGCACTGCCTTCTTTTGGCGCTGGGTGCCTTCCGAGCGGAACTCCGCGGACCGCGCCTCCAGGAACCTGCCGGGCGTGGGCTATGCTTCGTCGGCAGCAGATACCTGCTGCCCCGGTGCCCGTGGTGCTCGCCACGGCGCCCGCTCCGACGTCGGGCGGCCTCCTGGCGCGAGGCAGCCTGCCTTCGGGCCCCCGCCTGGCCTCGAGCAAGAGGCGAGCTGGGACCCCAGCCGGGCGGACTACTTCCTCGGCAGCGGCTTCGACATTGGGGCTGGCCCTGGCGGCCGAGCCGCTGGAGCGGACGGCCCGTGCGAAGCGTCGGCGGACCAGGCACCCAGAGGGCGTCCACTGGCGGGGACCTGGACAGCGGTCATTCCTGGAGCAGAAGGCCGTGAACACCAGGACGACGCTGGACTACCAGGCCCGATACCACCGTTTCCTGACCTGGGCCGAGGCTGCGAGGCTCCCAGTGCCCACCATCCCAGAGCTGGAGGAGACGCTCCTGGAATACTTCAACGAGCTGTACTTCGAGGGCCACGATTCGCCGGACGGGTCGAAGCTGGCGGCCGCCGTGACCCACTTCCGACTGGACCTGCTGCCGAAGCTGATCAACATGCCGCGCGTGCAGCGGGCGCTGAAGGGCTGGAAGTCCATGGCGCCCCCCCGGGCTCGCCTGCCCCTGCCCTGGCCGGTGGTGGCGTGGATGGCGGACTGGATGGTGACGAACGGGTTCGAGGCGGCGGCGACGGCAACCGTGCTGGCCTTCATCCTCTACCTGCGGCCCTCCGAGCTGCTGTCCCTGCGCGTGATCTCGGTCGCGCGGCCGGTGAAGAGCGGGCCCCGGCACCTGAGCAAGTACTCCATCCTCCTGTTCCCCGCCGAGCTCGAGGCGAGGTCGAAGACAAAGGACTACGACATCAGCCTGCTGCTGGACAACCCAGAGTTCGGCTGGATGGAGCAGGTGCTGGACCGACTGGTGCTGGGCCGACACCCGGAGCAGCCGCTGTTCGCGCTGAGCATGAAGTCGTGGACCCGAGCGTTCAACCTCGCGTCCGCCGCCCTGGACCTGGAGAACCTGGGCCCCCCGGTGCTGTACCAACTGCGCCACGGCGGCGCAAGCCACGAGATGCTAACCAACGCTCGGGAGTTCGGGGACATCAAGAAAAGGGGGCGGTGGGAGTCCGACCGGAGTCTCAAACGTTATGCAAAGGGAGGCCGAGTCCAAGAGCAGCTCCAACGTCTACGACCAGTGCAGCAAGCTCAGGCCCTCGGCTGCGCCGCGACTATTGGCAGCACCCTATGCAGAACTTGAGCTCGTGGGCCCACACCGCCAAGTCGAAGGTGCACCTGGAGATCTTCAGTGGCTCCGGGAACTGGTCGCGTGCCATGCGACACGGCCAGGCCTCTCGGCTGGCCCCACGTGTCTTCGAGCTGGACATGGAGCACGAGCCCGCCCTGGGCGACCTCTCCAGGCGCAGCGTGCAACGTGTTGTTCGGGGTTGGCTTCGTGGGCAGCTGCTCCAGGGTGTGTGGCTGGGTATGCCCTGCAGTTCCTGGTCCATGGCGTGGAATAGGCCCAACGGCCCCCCGGCCCTGCGGGATGGGAACCATCTGCTGGGACTCCCTGGTCTCTCGTCAGGCGACTCGCTCAAGGTGATGCTGGGGAACAGGCTCGCGTGCTTCTCCTTCAGCTTCTTTCTGGAGTGCGCGCTGCGTGGGGCCCCAGCGGCGATCGAGAACCCGGCCACTTCGTGGGTGTGGCAGACCAAGTGGGCGGTACATGCCGCCAAGCAGACCAACGTGAAGGTGATCGACTTTGATTTCTGTGCTTTCGGCACGCAATGGAGAAAACGAACCGGAGTCATGTATGCGCACGTGAACCTTGACGCCCTGAGTAGTTGTAAGTGCAGTGGCCGTGGCTGTTGCTCTTTCTCGCAGGCGCCGCACAAAGCCCTCGAGGGCAAGGCGCCGTCGGGCGCCTTCTGGACAAAGATTGCTGAACCATACCCTCCCAGATTGTCCAGTTTGCTTGCAAAGGCGTACCGTGAGTCTAGGCTCTGTTCCGTGCACCGTGCCTTGATGCGAATGACGGCCTGACGGCCAGGAGGATCTTTTGAAGTGAGATGCTTTGAGGTCGCTGGATTGTCTCTCTGGCGAGGCGTCCCTTTTGGACGCGTCGAGCAGCTGCGTCTTGGCTGGAGAGTGATCTGCGAACAGACAACGTCGAGAGGCTGGCCTGAAAATGAAGATCGGGTGGGGATATCCTTTGCGTGCATGTCTTTCCCCATCGGTCTAGAGTTCAGGCCGTCGATGCTAATCGCTTCCGTGGGTTTTTGGGCTCAACCCAGCCCGCCCACCCTTGAGCCTGTGTATAGATGCTTCCTGTTAGTCGCTCGAGAGGTCGCTGGATTGTCTCTCTGGCGAGGCGTCCCTTTTGGACGCGTCGAGCAGCTGCGTCTTGGCTGGAGAGTGATCTGCGAACAGACAACGTCGAGAGGCTGGCCTGAAAATGAAGATCGGGTGGGGATCCTTATGTGGGGAACTCCCTTAGCATAATTTTTTGACACAGGATTCCCGGGAAATGGGCTGTCGTTTAGGTTTTTGTTGCCAAATATTGTTCCCGCTGAGGCGCTGGCCTCATCTTCGGGCTTCCGCTCATTCCGAATCGTGCTCCCGCTGCAGCGCTGGCCTCACTTCCGCGCTTTCGCTCGTTCCGAATCGTGCTCCTGCTGCAGTGCTGGCCTCATTTCCGCGCTTCCGCTCGTTCCGAATCGTGCTTCCGCTGCAGCGTTGGCGTCATTGTTTCCAGTGCCATTCCACGGCATGGTTTTCGGTCCTTCCAAATCGGCCCCAAAATCTAGATAATGGCCCCCCGGAAAAAACCATCGGAAGTGATCACACATTCAGTGTCGATGCATTGATTTTTGGGGGCCGCAGAAGCCCCCCCCCCACTTTTGGGCGTCGCCACGCCATGCTATGTCATGCTACGCGTTGATCGTCAACACCATGCTATGCCATGTAATGCTATGCCATGCTGCGACATCCGACCGTGCGAATAGAGAGGATATCTACGCCATGGTAAGGGATGGGAAGGAGGGGTAGGACGTCAGATATGACGCGAGCGCACCTAGCTTGGCTTCCCCCCTCTTCTTTCTTCATCCCTCCTGCTCCCTCCTCTTCCTCCTCCCCCTCCTCCTCCTGCTCCTCCTCCTCCTCCTCCTCACACGAGGAGGTGGGGGGATGCTAAATCGCGCCGCCCTTCCCGCCCTGGCTGCCCCGAGGCTCTTCCCGTGCACCCTACGACCGGTACCCGCCGCATTGGCAGGACGGGTCGCCGCCCCCGAACCTCGAGAGTTTCGCGTCCGACCTGGTCGCCTCAGACGCCGTGGGGGCCACCGACGTGCTCGTATTCGGCTCCCGGGGCGGCCAGGCCGTCGTCGTCGTCGTCAGTCGCCGTCGTCGCCGCCGCCGTCTTCGCCGTCACCGACCTCGCCGTCACTTTCGCCGTCCGTTGCTGTCCTCGCCGCCGCCGCCGTCGTCGCCCTCTCAGCCGCCAAAGTCGGGTATTGCCGCTGTCGTCGCCGTCCTCGCCGCCTCTGCCGCCGTCGCCGCTCTCGCCATCGCCGTAGGCTTAGGACGACGCTGACCACGAGACGTTTCGTGGTCGGCCCTCGCTTTCGGCTCGCGGATCACGACTCAATGAATTAATTATCTGTATGTTCCTTTTGTGCACGAGGCGGGATGGCGGAGGAGGGGGGAAGAGGAGGAGGAGGAGGAGGAGAAGGAGGCGGAGGAGCAGGAGGAGAAGGAGGAGGAGGCGGGAGTGTGGACACCGTGGGGGTGCGGGGTGCTAACGAACCGTACTTCCCCTACTTCCCCGGGCATGGAACATCTCTGCGGACATTCCATCTGGAACCGTTGGCCATGTTATCTGCAAGCGGATGGACATCCGAAAGGTCGGCGGTACATATTCATCTGACGCAGGATAATGTCCATTCGGCGTCGTTGTCATGTCCGCCTTGCCTCTCAATGTTCCATGGCATGTATCCTTCTACCCGTGCGCCTCATTCCTCATCCTCGCAGCTCCGCTTCTGTCTCAAGCGGAAGGGTTGATTCTCCCCGAGGCAGCGACCATCTTAGATGGCGGCGCCGTGTTTGGGTTCAGATTGGCACCCAGTGTTTCATCATCATTGCGGTTCTTCTCATCCCCAACGTCTTTCTCTTCCTCCGCTGCCGCGCTCATGGACAGAGGGGCAGACTTGCCAAAATTCAGAGCTCTGATCCTTGCCTGATTCAGAAGCCCACAGAGTTTCCCTCCTCGTCCATGATCTGCCTCATTATTCTCATCGTGTTCCTTCTTATCGTTATTATCGTCCTCCTGATCCCTCTGTCTCTGTCTCTCTGTGTGTGTGTCTCTCTCTCTCTCTGTTTTCCTCCCTTCCTCCTTTCTCATTATCCTCATCATCCTCTTCCTCATCCTCCTCTTCCGCGTCTCTTCGCCGCCTCACCCGCCTCCGCTCATAGAGAGGAAAGGCGAATGGCAGGCAATCCAACCAGTTGGGCCGGCGGCATCGAGCCCTGATTCAGAAGGGCGCGCCTGGGATTCCTCATCCTCCCTCGTCCTCATACTACTTACCCATTATCCTCATCCTTTGTCAAACCGATGGTCCCCAAGAAAAGTTCCAGGACCCCCCACGCTCAGCCAGGACTAACCAACAACTCCGAAGCCCCCACAAGAACAACTACGTCGTTGTCGCCTCACTCCTACCAGTGTTCCTTCTCTTCCTCCTCATCCCCATCTCATACCCTCGATCACGACGGAGCGCGTGCCCTGGAGGAGGAGCACGAGGAGGGAGGGAGCGAGGGAGGATGAGGGATGGAGGAGGAGGATGGGGGGTAGCAAGGTATGGAGGTGGAGATACAGAAGTAGTAGCACTGGTAGTAAAAGTAGTCGTCGTCGTAGTAGTAGTGGTAGTAGCAGAAGTTGTAGTAGCAGCAGCAGTAGCATTAGCAGCAGCAGTAACAGTAGTTGTAGCAGTAGCAGTAGCACGAGTCATATTCGTATGACCGAAGTTGTAGTAGTAGCAGTAGTAGCAGTAGTAGCAGTAGTAGCAGTAGTAGTAGTAGTAGTAGTAGTAGTAGTAGTAGTAGTAGTAGTAATAGTAGTAGTAGTAGTATAGTAGTAGTAGTAAGTAGCAGCGTAGTAGTAGTAGTAGTAGTAACAGTAGTTAGTAGCTGTAGTAGTAGTAGTAGTAGTAGTAGTAGTAGTACTAGTAGTAGTAGTAGTAGTAGTAGTAGTAGTAGCAGTAGCACGTAGTCATATTCGTATGACCAGTAGTAGTAGTAGTAGTAGTAGTAGCAGTAGTAGCAGTAGTAGCAGTAGTAGCAGTAGTAGTAGTAGTAGTAGTAGTAGTAGTAGTAGTAGTAGTAGTAGTAGTAGTAGTAGTAGTAGTAGTAGTAGTAGTAGTAGTAGTAGTAGTAGTTAGTAGTAGTAGTCGTAGTAGTAGTAGTAGTAGTAGACATAGTAGTCGTGGTACTAGTAGCTGTAGTAGTAGTAGTAGTAGTAGTAGTAGTAGTAGTAGTAGTAGTAGTAGTAGTGATATTAGTAGTAGTAGTAGTAGTAGTAGTAGTAGTAGTTGTTGTAGTAGTCGCCGTCGTAGATGTAGTCGTAGTCGTAGTCGTAGTCATAGTCGTAGTCGTAGTAGTAGCAGTAGTAGCCGTAGTAATAGTAGTTGTAGTAGTAGTAATAGTAGTAGTAGTAGTAGCAGTAGTAGTAGTAGTAGTAGTACTACTACTAGTAGCAGTAGTAGTCGTAGAAATAGTAGTCGTAGTAGTAGTAGCTGTAGTAGCAGTCGAGATAGTAGTAGTAGTAGTAGTAGTAGTAGTAGTAGTAGTAGTAGTAGTAGTAGTAGTAGTAGTAGTAGTAGTAGTAGTAGTTGTAGTGGTAGTGTAGTAGTAGTTAGTAGTAGTTAGTAGTAGTCGTAGTAGTAGTAGTAGTAGTAGTAGTAGTAGTAGTAGTAGTAGTAGTAGTAGTAGTAGTAGTAGTAGTAGTAGCAGTAGTAGTTGTTGTAGTAGTCGCCGTCGTAGATGTAGTCGTAGTCGTAGTCGTAGTCGTAGTTAGTGGTAGTCGTGGTCGTCGTCGTCGTCGTCGTCCTCGTCGTCCTCTTCCTCGTCGTCGTCGTTGTCGTCGTCGTCATAGTCGGAGGTTGGGTGGTGTGAACGGAAGTGGCCCCAACCAGGAAATCAGTTTCGGTTTCTGTTCGTGTCGCGCGTGCGGGCGAGGCGAAGCCGCGCAAGTCCTGCACTGATGGGAGCCACACATTGCCAAAAGGGCCGCCCTCCCCCGTCGGCCGGCCGTGGCTCCCGGGTTGTCCCGGCGGTTGTCCCCGCAGTTGTTCCGATGGTTATCCCGATGATTGTCCCGATGGTTGTCCCGGCGGTTGTCCCGGCGGTTGTCCCGATGGTTGTCCTGATGGTTGTCCCGATTGTTGTCCCGAAGGTTGTCTCAACGGGTGTCCTGATGGTGGCCCGGATGGTTGTCCCGATGGTTGTCCCGATGGTTGTCCCGATGGTTGTCCCGATGGTTGTCCCGATGGCCGATGGTTTTTCTGATGTTTGTCCCGATGGTTGTCCCGATGATTGCCCCATGGTTGCCCCGATGTTTGTCCCGTGGCTCCCGGGTTGTCCCGGCGGTTGTCCCCGCAGTTGTTCCGATGGTTATCCCGATGATTGTCCCGATGGTTGTCCCGGCGGTTGTCCCGGCGGTTGTCCCGATGGTTGTCCTGATGGTTGTCCCGATTGTTGTCCCGAAGGTTGTCTCAACGGGTGTCCTGATGGTGGCCCGGATGGTTGTCCCGATGGTTGTCCCGATGGTTGTCCCGATGGTTGTCCCGATGGTTGTCCCGATGGCCGATGGTTTTTCTGATGTTTGTCCCGATGGTTGTCCCGATGATTGCCCCATGGTTGCCCCGATGTTTGTCCCGCTGGTTTCTCCGATGGTCTACCCCATGGTTGTCCCGATGGTTGTCCCGATTGTTGCCCCGACGGTTGTCCCGATGGTAGTCCCGATGGTGGTCTTCATTGTTGCCCCGATGGTTGTCTCGAAGGTTGTCCCGGTGGTTGTCCCGATGGTTGTCCCGATGGTTGTCCCGATGGTTTTCTTGATGTTTGTACCGATGGTTGTCCCGATGGTTGTCCCGATGTTTGCCCCGATGGTTGTCCCCATGGTTTTCCCGATGGTTGTCCCGATGGTGTCGCCGATGGTTGTCCCGATGGTTGCCCCGATGGTTGTCCCGAAGGCTGTCCTGGTGGTTGTTCTCATGGTTGTCCCGATGGTTGTCCCGATCGTTGTCCAGATGGTTGACCTAATGTTTGTCCGAATGGTTTTTGGATGAATGTATTTGGTGACAGATCGATAGACTCATAGAATGATAGATTTGCCTATATATATATATATGTGTACACAGATCATACATATAGCGATATATATAAATATATATATATATACCTATACGACCACCCTGCGGGTGATAAGGAGGTTGTGGGGGGGGGAGGGGGGGGCTCATGACGACAACTGTGGTGAATGTGGTGCTGATGGCCGATGATGGTGTGGATGACGATCCCACTATCGATCTCACATCGATCTCACTATCGATCCAACATTCGGTCTCACATTCGGTCTCACTATCGATCTCACTTTCGGCGTCACTATCAGTTTCACGACCGATCTCACTATCGATCTCACGACAGGACTACGGCGGGCGACCGACGGGACAATGCGGGCTACCGCTTGACACGCGCCGGCGGGGGAAACATTTATATTGGCGAACCACTAGCGACAGACAGGACAACGGCGGGCGACCGACGGGACAATGCGGGATACCACTTGACACGCGCCGGCGGGGGAAACATGTATGTTGGCGAACCACTAGCGACAGACAGGACAACGGCGGGCAACCGACGGGACAATGCGGGCCACCGCTTGACACGCGCCGGCGGGGGAAACATATATGTTGGCGAACCACTAGCGACAGACAGGACAACGGCGGGCAACCGACGGGACAATGCGGGCCACCGCTTGACACGCGCCGGCGGGGGAAACATGTATGTTGGCGAACCACTAGCGACAGACAGGACAACGGCGGGCAACCGACGGGACAATGCGGGCCACCGCTTGACACGCGCCGGCGGGGGAAACATTATGTTGGCGAACCACTAGCGACAGACAGGACAACGGCGGGCAACCGACGGGACAATGCGGGCCACCGCTTGACACGCGCCGGCGGGGGAAACATTTATGTTGGCGAACCACTAGCGACAGCAGAATGAATTCCTCTCGCCCGCGCACGCAGCTTCGCTTCGCCCGCACGCACGACACGAACACGAAACCGAAACCGATTTCCCGGTGGGGGGCTCTCCGTTCCACTTCGA